AGAAATACGATGAGAAGGAGAATCGCCTCGGACACGCCCAAATCCTTCGACTCCTGAAGTTCTGTCTCAAGATGTACTTTACGTTCAACGGAACAACCTACGTGCAGGTGGAGGGCACGCCAATGGGTTCGCCGATTTCGATGAGAAAGGAAAGTTCTGCTGGAGATGGGGTAAAAGGTCGTCATTTTATTTTGTTTAGGTATGCACTCCACGGACCTGGACTGAAGTTCGTTCACGACAACAGCTCCCCAGGTACCTGTCAGGGTTGATTTCGTAATGCGGGTGGTGGCAAAACGACGAAGTATATTATAAATCTTGTATCCAAGCCGTAGAACATTCTGGGTATTCGATTGTGGAAAATCGACCAGACAAAAATTAATGAGGATCGAGGAAGCAGTCACAGAATATGGGTCGCATTGGTTCGTAATATGAAGAACCATGGGGTTCGTAAACCAGCAAACACAGCGGCAGATACAAATACAGGTTAGGAGTCAGATACACGAAGGGAGTCATGTATGGTCAGCTGCAGGTGAAGACAGCATGCATAATTATATGGTACGATTAAGAACTTACCAAGTCCTGTAGATCAAAATCACCGTCACTGCCAAGACATAACATCGCACTCGTCTTGCCTACTCCCTTGGCCCCACACAAGAGAATCTTCGTTACCCTTACCATTCAACCTAAAGAACTGAAGGGAAAAGAGTAGTTAGAAAGTAGTGGATCAAACGGAGTTTATTTGTGAGGATTTGGAGAACGGCAATCATTTCGGGTGAAAATTCAGAATGTAGACTTCGAACAGGGAAGAGAAGAATAAATAAGGCATACGCTAAAGTCATTAAATTTCTAAAATTTTCGCTCGAAGCCCTAAGTTCTCTGAATATTTATGCATATATTTATTTTTGGAAACACTACGTGAAAGGGTTTGAAATCGTGCCAAAATACGTACCCTGGTTTGTGTTAAATGAGTTTGAAGGGACTGCGGCCCTAGATGAAAATTATTCGCCAAACTTCGAGTGAGAAAACAAAGCAGATTAAATGCCGCGGAAAAGAAGTCGGTAGATTTCCCTAACTTCTCTGGACAACGAGGGGTTGACAGAGCCAATGACAATCAAACATAAGTCAAAGGAGTGATCTAGAGATTAGTCAAGTATGACGGACTCAGCATCGATGATTTCAACAGGTACTTCGGCAACCAATGAAGTTGTAATAAACACGTTTTACATGGTAAAAAATAAGACGGAAACACAGGTGCCATTTCGATGCAAGATAAAAAGGTCTGGTAAAATGTGACAGAAGTAGATAAGGCGATGGAAACTGCTAGAGTAGACACATCGTACTTTAAAGACAAAAAGTAGATAAACTGTTTAAAATGACGTGTAGATGCGCAACGAGCGATAAACCTGAACTGGTCGACTTAGAGGGAGTTTGGATTAAACGAGGGATTGCTGTAAATGCAAGGGAAATAACCATCAGAGTTACTCGAAGGGATAAAAACATGGCGCGTCACAAACAAAGTGTACTGGCCAGATAAGACGGAAATGTACTTGCTACAGGGAAGTGCTACCAGGACTAATAAGATAGAAAGACATTCCATTGCGCAGGAGAAATTCTAGAGGGCGATTGCTTTCTTAGAAAATTAGCGACTTTAGAAGGCAAATGTTTAGTCAGCATAAACAGTGTAAATAAACTTTCGGAATTCGCATAATTTTAATGTTCGAGCTATCAGTCAAATGACACTGCGAAAAAGTGGACACAAAAATGCAAGGGGGTGAAAGGGAACTGTTATGCTCCGCCTCGATAATATAATCGGCCACATTGATTTACGGCGAAACCACAAGAATCACAACAACGGACGCATCGCACCCAGGAAATTAGGAACCGGAAGGGACTACGAAGCTATGAAATATTTGACATACTAATTAACATGGCAATTGTCATCTGCTCAAGCATATTAACAGGCACATGGCACATCACAGTGAACAAATTAAATGAACGAACTTGTTTTGATTGTTAGGAGATGCAAAGACAGTTTATATTAGAGCTCCAGGTTAGAGTAGTAGCACCAACTATATAGTTGGACCAGAGAATGACGACCGGCGAACGTTTAGGGTATTTCAGGCCGATAATCAAACGCTAGTCTCGAATTTTCCGCGTGAAATTTTAGGCCAAAATAAACTTCATTCATCTATTTTCAAGAAAATTTCGAAACATATTCGGCAAAAGCCGTTACAGAGCTGAGTGAAAATTTAGCTCTGGTCCGATCTTACCAGATACCTCTAAGATTTCAGATAATGTGGTGGGTAAGTGATAGGTGGAAAAGGGAGTAGTAATCGTGTTGACACAAAGATATTTAAATGGTCCCCGGTGAACAGAGACGTAATACATATTTAATACGAAAAAGGAACTAAGGAAGTTGTTAAAAAGATTTCGCTTTTATTCAGATTTTGAGGGACACAAGTGCGCCAATCGAAACAGCTAGTTCACCAGCAACAAGGCCTACCAAAAACAATAAAGTGATACGAGTACAGACAAGGCTATTTATGACCTTCTGACTCTGAATCGAAAACATGCATAAAATATGGTATGTACTCGGTATCGCCCAGTACACAGACGTCGGATGAGGTGGAGAATATTTTGATTACTTACTGACTTTAAATAGGCAAGCATCTACAGCAAATTTAAAAGTTAATCAAGGCTTCTGTCCGCGACGCTTCAGGTCCATACGAAGACGCAAACCTTAATACAAAGTGCCATGTCTGGTGTTCGTAGCTTCCTTCGTATCAGAGCTCCTGCATGACAGATGAAATCTGGGGCATTCGGGTTTGGAGGTCCTCTATGGCTCTGTAGATATATTTTCAGAAATTATTTTGTGGTTTCTTCCTCTTTTGACCTCAAGTAGGATCGCCTAGGTGTTTTAAGGAGACTCATAGTCGTATCGTTAGATTATGGCTGATGTGCCGGCGAACTAAAACGATTTTTGACTGACTATTCTGATGTAAATTACCCTAAATCATCGCTGACCAAAGCTTCGGGACAGATAATATTTGTTGAACAGCAGCCGCAGGGTGTCTATTTTGCCTCGAAATGTCGTGTGCTTTATGAGTATGACTTCCGAGCGTTTGTTGTGAACGCCGTGGGTTATTACGAAGTTTTGCTCGCTAACCGGTCCTATGTATTAAATGCGAGACTTGTAAAACAGGCCATGTCTTAGGTGTGTATTCTGTTGGCGCCTTTCTCGTGAGAGTGCATTTAATGCATGAGCAAGCAGGCTGTTCTAATTTAAACCTGTTATTATCTGGCCTGGTACCCAGAACTCACACGAAGCGTATGCGCACTCAACTGCTCTCCCCACAGTCACGCAATGGTTGCAGGAAATCCTATGGAGGGAGCGACAGTAATCACGCAGCCGTCCCAGGGCATTGGTCACTGCCTCACTGAAACCCCTAACTCATAGTGAAGAGCGATATTTGTCTGGTGCAACAAAGCAGCCCTATTTCTGGAGAGCACTGCTTAACATGCGGTCAAAATAAAAACACAACGAAAAGTACTCTGGAACAAGAAATTTATTTGCCTGACGTTTCGGATTCTCACTCGAATCCATCATCAGAGACATTCGCAGACAAAGGTAATGGTGGCACCAGGAGTGCAGTATTTATAGCACGTGGCTGCCGTGGGACCGTATGCGCACTGCAATTAACAGTTCTCGCAATCACCGCTGGGGTCCTAATCGATGCGGTGGTGGCTTGTCGATCCGAGTCCGAGTCGTTAATTGCCGCGATTTCGTCATCCGTGCTGGATGCTGGTGTGATGATTGCTCGGCAAACTGGCTCACTATCACCGTGATGATTGCTCGCCCGCCCCCTCCCCACGTGACTGATTCCCCTGTCTAGGGAAAATCGCAGTAAGGAATAGGGTACCGGGAGGTCATCGTGCTTGTTTATGAATTGCGGGCCTGAAAACCATGACTCGAGCTGCTCGCGGCTCACGCGGTTGTCACCCCTTGCGAGGATTTCGGCCTCTTAAAATTTGAAAATATGGCCGGGTCCCGTCGAGTGTGCCGCCACTTGAGAGTTAGCGTCTCCCCGCCTCACTGCTGCTGCGTGCTCGGCAATTCGCGTACGGAGTAATCTTTCAGTTTCTCCGACATAATTACTTTGTCCGCAACTACACCAGATCCGGTAAACGACTCCAGACGTGTCCTGCCGTGGTAGGAGGTCTTTTGGCCTCATGACTTGGCGCCTAATGGTTGCTTCCGGCCTGTGTGCAACCCCAACTCCAAGTGGAGTGAGAAGATGACAGAGGGCTTTCAAGACGTTTTTCACGTACGGAAGAGCCCGCCAAAATTTGGGGTCGGTTGGATTTGGTCTCTGGTGTCCTTTTCGTATGCACTGGTTGACAAAGTTGCGTGGGTAACCATTGGCTCTCATTACCCGTCGAAGACATTGTAATGCAGCAACCTTGTCTTCCATTTCACTGCAGTGCGTCTCAACATGCCGGTATAGCGCCCTTACGCAAATGCGTTTGTGACTGATCTGGTGGTTGCTATTGAAGTTCAGTATTTGCGTCATATTTGTCGCTTTCCTGAAGACTTTAGTTTTTAGGCCACCACAATCTTTGCGGCAGACGAGGACATCAAGGAAGGCCAGCTGATTGTTTTCCTCCTCCTCAGTCGTAAATTGAATGTCAGGGAAGACGGATTTCGGGACTCATAGTCGAGGTGGTCCTACAACGGCTGGAGTTGCTGGTTTTCCGACACCACAGACCGAAATTTTGGGCTCGGTATGTGGATGACACCTTCGTCGTCATCGAACGGGATCAGGTGCTGACGATCAAAGAACATCTCTACGCCGTCTTCCCGGACCGACAAGCCACCACCGCATCGATTACGACCCCAGCGGTGATTGCGAGAACTGTTAATGGCAGTGCGCATACGGCCCCACGGCAGCCACGTGCTATAAATACTGCGCTCCTGGTGCCACCATTACCTTTGTCTGCGAATGTCTCTGATGATGGATTCGAGTGAGGATCCGAAACGTCAGGCAAATAAATTTCTTGTTCCAGCAATCGCATCTTCATCTTCTGAACTGCTACCTGGAACTCGCCTGTTCGCTTCTATCAGCAAAAAGTACTCTCCCTCTTCCTCCTCCTCCTCCTCCCCGCCGCCCAACCCCACAGGCAGCTTAAGCGAGTCCGCTCAGTCTGGAGGTCTGGGATGATCGTTTCCTTTTAGATAATCCCAGGAGCAACTGAGCGGAACTAAGGAGGGCCCCAGTCATTCGGTAACTGGCGCATTACGATGCCGACATCGCTCCACTCAACAAGACCCGCTCTTCCGATTAAGGTCTGCTGGTGGAGGTGGGTGCTTGTTAACCCTCTTCTGGATCGGCCGTCCCAGGCAGTGTGGCTGGACGTGAGCGCCGCATTTGCCATCGGAAACGACATCGTAGGACGACTGCCCTGCCTGCCGCAGGGCATTGAAGACTGACTGGTGAGCTGCGTCTGCCTCTTCAGGGACCCGACTTCGCCACCATCCTCAACCCTGGTAAACTGGATACTGCTTTGTTGTCTTCACCTGCTCACCGTCTGCATTTCAACAATCACTTGACCCAGTGACCAAAAGAACTGCCAGCAGCAGATGAAGACTCCTCTGTGGTGACACGATGATGCCAATTACGGGACACCCCGGCCGTCCTCGGCGGCGTGCGTCGTCAGCACCAGGATAGGTTCAACGCAACGACGCAGCCATCAGTAACCCGCTTGCCGAGAAGAACAGGCTGCACAGAGCCTATCTCGATCGTCCAGCCGATTCAAACAAAGCGGTCTTTTACCGATATCGCCGTCTCACATAGCAGCGGTTGCGAGAAATACAGGACTCCTGCACGGCTCGCAAAATCGAAGAGATCCAGGGATATGCGCACCGCAACAAATCAAAGAACTTCATCACTGAGATCAAGACGATCTACGGCCTCCGACAAAATGGACCGCGCCACTTCTCTGCTTTGACGGATCAACGCTTTTGACGGAAAAGTCGCAGATTCTGAAGCGTTGGACCGAGCAATTCAGAAGTATCCTCAACCGTCCCTCCACAATCTCAGACGCCGCCATCGACCGACTCCCCCAAGAAGGAACCAACACCTATCTGGGTCGCCCACCGCCTCTTCCAGAAACCATCCGCCCCGTGCACGAACTCTTCAGACGGAAGGCACCCGGCTCCGATGCGATCCCAGACGGAATCTACAAGCACGACCGCCATCGACTGTTGGACCAACTGCCGGTGCTATTTCAGGAGATTTGGGTGCCACGATCAGGTTCCCCAAGATATCAAGAATACAAACAGTCGTCCATTCGTACATGCGTTGAGGGAGCCGGCAACTCTTTGACAATCACAGAGGTATTTGACTACTCAACAACGCCTCGAAGACCTTCGCTTGCACGCCCCACAATCGTCTCGACGGACACCTAGAACAAGGACTTTTGCCGGAAAGTCAATGTGGATTCCAACCTCATGCGGTACCACCGATAAGGTCATTACCGCCCACCGGCTAAAGGAGAAGTGCCGGGAAATGTGGACTCACCTCTACACCACCATCGTTGCTGTGATGAATGTCTTCGACACACTGAATTGCGAAAGACTGTGGAGAATCCTGCAGAAGTTTGGCCGTCCCGGGCGATTCATGTACATAGCACGTCAGCTCCAAGGTGCGATGATGGCACGCGTCTCGGGTAACGGCGTGATCTCCGAAGCATTTACAGTGACCAATGGAGCGAAGGTGGAATGTGCGATCGCCGCACCCTATTCAGCCATATGTCCTCTGTCATGCTGAGTGAGGCCTAACATGATGAGCGCCCCAGTACCCGCATCGACTACAGGACCGACGGGCACCTTCGCAACAACCGGCGAATGCAGCCTCCAATGCGTCTCTCTACGAATACTATTAACAATCTGCACTTCGCTGGAGATTGCGCACTTAATACTACGACCGAGGAAGACATTTAACGGAGCATAGATCTCTTTGCCTCCGGCTTAACCCAATTCGAACTCATTATCAATAGGCGCAAGGCAGTGATCGTGAACTACCATCAATCGACCAGTGAATACAGTGTTACTTGCGTCCGTGGAGTGTAGAGGTGTCATCGGTGGGTTCACGTAATGGTCGTGGTGGTCGCTCACTTGCTTGCAGGTGAGACTGCGCCTAGCGTCCACTTGCTGGCACTCAACTCTCACATGTGGCTCCACGTAGCTGGACTCTTCTCGGAGGCCACACCCCGGGCAACCGTCTCGACCGGCGGGCTAAATCAGGTGAGGGGGCCCTGTGCGCTGTGCCGTGTGCACAGGGTTTGCGGATTCCGCTGGATGGAAGGTCGGATGGAACCTTGCGTCGGCACCGTCGTGACGTGGTTCGTCTCTGCACGCCGCTGGACAGCCGGTGACGGGATGGATCTCCACATCGACATCGCCTTGACGCGCCCACCTACGCCGTCGGAGACCGCGGCTTACGGAGAATTCGAGTCGCTCTCCACTACAACCCGAAGTCGTGGTCCCATAGTGGAGTTCGGCCGTGCCACAACGGCACATGGCAGCCATATTCATGGATGGCACTGCCAGCCCCCACGAGGGGGAGGGCCTAGAAAAGGTGGCCTAAACATTGCTGGGTACCACGCCGTCTCCGGGCTAGCCAGGGCCGCAGACGTCTTATCATGGTCGAAACAATCAAAATCGAAACAACAAAAATACCAATAACAACATCAACCATACTCATTCTCCTCATCCTACCTCTTCTTCCTCTTCATCTGCCTATTCTTCTGCCTATTCTCCTCCTTCGTCATCTTCTTCTCCACCTCCTTCCCGTCGCCCCACTCGTTGTCACCTGACTGGCAGGGTGAGTCCGCTCACTCTGGCAGCCTGGAATGTTCGTTCCCTTTTAGACAATCCGAGGAGCAACCGACCGGAACGGAGGACGGCGCTAGTGGCACGAGAACTGGCGCGCTACAAGGTGGACATCGCCGCACTCAGCGAGACCCGTTTCTCCGAACAAGGCCAACTGGAGGAGGTGGGTGCCGGTTACACCTTCTTCTGGAGAGGTCGACCTAGGACAGAGCGACGGGACGCGGGTGTCGCCTTCGCCATTCGGAACGACATCGTGAGACGACTGCCCTGTTTGCCGCAGGGCATCAACGATCGCCTGATGAGCCTCCGCCTGCCTCTCTGGGGAGGCAAATTCGCCACCATTATCAGCGCCTACGCTCCGACGATGACCAACCCCGATGCCGTCAGAGACAAATTCTACGAGGACCTGCACGCGCTCTTGGCGACTGTGTCGAAGGCGGACAAGTTGATTGTCCTTGGCGACTTCAACGCCCGCGTCGGCACCGACCATACTGCCTGGAGAGGAGTGCTGGGTCCCCACAGTCTCCGCGGCTCAAACGACAATGGTCTGCTGCTTCTCCGCACCTGCGCAGAACACCGCCTCATCCTGACGAACACGTTCTTCTGCCTGCCGGAGCGAGAGAAGGCCACCTGGAGGCATCCTCGGTCACGTCAGTGGCACCTGCTGGACTGTGTCCTCGTCCGGAGTCGAGATCAGCGGGACGTGCTGGTGACAAAGGCGATCGCTGGCGCTGACGGGTAGACCGACCATCGCCTCGTCATCTCGAAGATGCGTATTTGCCTACAGCCTCGCAGGAGACCACAAGGTAAGCGACCCCCAGGTAAGCTGAATGTTGCCTTGCTGTCTTTGCCCGCTCACCATCTTCATTTCAGCAATGAGCTAGCTCAAAGGCTAGACAACTTTCCTATCTCTGTCGACGCCGCCGACGCCGCCGCAACTGCCGAGAACGCCTCTGTGGAGAACCGCTGGTGTCAACTGCGAGACACGGTCAAGTCGACGGCGCTCGCCGTCCTCGGTCGCGCTCCCCGACAACACCAGGACTGGTTCGACGACAACGACGCCACCATCAGAAATCTGCTTGCTGAGAAGAACCGCATACACAAAGCCTACGTAGATCACCCCACTGATGCCATCAAAGCTGCCTTCTACCGCAGTCGCCGCCAGCTTCAGCAACGACTGCGCGAGATGCAGGACGCCTGGACTGCTCGCAAAACTGAGGAGACCCAAGGGTACGCGGACCGCAACGAATGGAAGAACTTCTTCTCTGCGATCAAAGTTGTCTGCGGCCAGCCGACGAAGGGCACTGCTCCTCTCCTCAGCGCCGACGGCAACACTCTCCTGACTGAGAAGACGCAAATCCTGCAGCGATGGGCCGAGCATTTCCGAGGCGTCTTCAACCGCCCCTCCGTCATCTCCGACGCCGCCATCGAGTGTTTGCCGCAAGTTGAGACCAACGTGGACCTCGACCTCCCGCCATCTCTCCAGGAGACCATCAGCGCCATGCAGCAGATCTCCAGCGGGAAAGCACCCGGATCGGACGCCATCCCTGCTGAGGTCTACAAGCACGGAGGTCCCCAACTGATGGATCACCTGACTGCGCTCTTCCAAGAGATTTGGCGTCAAGGTGAAGTCCCGCAAGATTTCAAAGACGCAACCATCGTGCATCTCTACAAGCGCAAAGGGAATCGCCAAGTCTGCGACAATCACCGCGGCATCTCCCTGCAGAACATCGCCGGGAAGATCTTCGTACGAATCCTTCTCAACCGCCTCAATAACCATCTGGAACAGGGCCTTCTGCCGGAAAGCCAATGCGGCTTCCGTCGTCATCGTGGGACTACGGATATGATCTTGGCCGCCCGTCAACTTCAGGAGAAGTGTCAGGAGATGCGGACCCACCTGTACTCTACCTTCGTGGACCTGACGAAAGCCTTCGACACGGTGAATCGTGAAGGACTGTGGAAGATCATGCAGAAATTCGGCTGTCCGTAGCGATTCACTCAGATGGTGCGTCAGCTGCACGACGGTATGATGGTGCGAGTCACGGACAACGGAGCTGTCTCAGAGGCATTCGCAGTGACCAATGGAGTGAAGCAGGGCTGCGTACTGGCGCCTACCCTCTTCAGTCTTATGTTCTCTGCCATGCTGATGGACGCCTACCGCGACGAACGCCCCGAGATCCGCATCGCCTACAGGACGGACAGTCACCTCCTGAATCAACGGCGGATGCACTTCCAATCTCGCGTATCCACAACCACCGTTCACAAACTCCTCTTCGCCGACAACTGTGCCCTAAACACCACCTCGGAAGAGGAGATGTAACGGAGCATGGACCTGTTCTCCGCCGCCTGCGAGAACTTCGGTCTGGTCATTAACACGCAGAAGACGGTGGTGATGCAGCAACCGCCACCCAACTCAGCCACAGCCCCCAACGCGCCGCCGCAAATCAACGTGAACGGAACCCAACTGCAAGTGGTAGAGAACTTCCCGTACCTGAGCAGTACTCTCTCCCGCAACACCAAGATGGACGACGAAGTCGCCAACAGGATCTCGAAAACCAGTCAAGCCTTCGGTCGCCTCCAAAGCACAGTTTAGAATTGCCACGGTCTTCAGCTGAGCACGAAGCTGAAGATGTACAAGGCCGTCATCCTGCCGACACTACTGTATGGAGCGGAGACTTGGACGATGTACGCAAAGCGGGCACGTCGTCTGAACCACTTCCACCTCAGTTCTCTTCGTCGCATCCTGCGGCTGAACTGGCAGGATCGAATCCCCGACACTGATGTGCTGGAACGGACGGGAATCCTCAGCATCTACGCCATACTGAGGCAAATTCAGCTGCGCCGGAGCGGCCACCTGGTGCGAATGGACGACGAGCGACTGCCCAAACGACTCTTCTACGGAGACGTCGCGACGGGTTCTCGCCGTCAAGGAGGCCAGATTCGCCGTTACAAGGATACATTGAAAGGCCTGCAAATCAGCCCCACCAACTGGGAGGAACACGAACTCGATCAACCGACCTGGAGGAGGACAGTGAAGACAGGCGCTGCGATCTACGAAACCAACCGCATCGCTGCCGCCAAAGCGAAACGTGAAGCCCGCAAATCACAACTTCGCCCTGTAAGCAACGCCGCCGCACAACCGCTTCCAACGTTTCCTCGATGTCAACGGACATTGCGGGCTCGAATCGGACTTGTTGGACATCTTCGGATTAACTGCGCCTCTCGAACGGCACCAACCATCGTCCCCCACCTGCCTCTTCCTCCTCCTCTCCGCCGCCAATTAACCCTGACAATTCTTCTGACCCACCACTTCCATCGTCCTCCT